TGGCAACTTATATTCAATTGCTGATATACTTAAAACCATTTATTTAGTTCTTGCTCCCATTGGGGGCACGTTTATTCATAGTAGGACATGGAAATACGGCCAGACTTGGGGATTTTTCACTTCGATTGTGAGAACTTTTCATGATTCACGAGACAATTTACTTGGACCCACAAATTGTCACAAAAACTAATATTCAAGATGATTGTTTCAAAAACCCAAAAAGGGAAGTAGGTTATTTCTCTGAATTTAGGGAATTGGTGATATTGTTACTAGTTCATGGTACTAGTATGTGGACAAAGCTATCTCTCATCATTCAAAGAAAACAAAGTCTAAAAGGCAATAAAATCATGGCACAAGACATTAAAAAGGTCAGTTTACATTGTTGCTGCGAAACATTGTCGCACAAACAAGCACGCTCACACAAACAAGCACACTCACACAAACAAGCACGCTCACACACACAAGCATGCACACACACACAAAAAAGCTTGTTGTTAGCAGCACTCACCACTAGTCGGCGCAGTAGCGGTTAAATTAAGGCAATTTGGGAAGCAGACTGTGAAAAAGAGGCACACGTTAGTTAAGAAGCAGAAAAGGCAATCATATATGTCCATAACAAATCTCAGCTATTATTTTATATGATCTGTATGGGGATAAATGGACTTGTGGTTAATGACATGTTTAATTCAAAGCAGTGTTAATCAGCTGAAGCCATCACAATCGTTGAGAGCCAGGCAAAGGCACGGCCCACCGATTAGACTTGATTAAATGACAGTGTAAAGCACTGGATGAGATTATCTTTTATGGCCCGATAAAGAGGGTGCTAATTGAAATACATTGGTGGAAGGAGACACGGTGTGATAGCAATTTGAAACACTTTTATAATCCATGAATGTGTAACAACTACTATTACTATTAACAAATACTGTAGTGCTACCGCTGCTACTGCAAACACATTGCACCAGTCAATATCTATTCCTCACATCCTAGTTGCTCATTGAGAAGAGTTGATGATATATTTTAAGGTGGGAGTCTGAAGCTTGTTTGATAGACTGTAGAATAACCATATATTGAGATTTCACGTTTCTTCATTCACAGAAGATTCTCTCAAATAGATTTAGGGACTTGCAAGAAATATTACTCATTATTTTTTCACAATGGAAAACAATGCTGACACTATTTACTTTGCCATTTTATTTCTTAGAATGTGAAATAATAACTTAAGTAGAAGTAAATATATGCTGAAAGTATCAAGGGTAAACAATGCAATCGACCTGCCCAATCCCTATGCTACCACCAGAGGGAAGTGCAGAACTTTTAAATTTATTTTGTATTTTTTTATTTTGTTAAATTACCAGCTGCAAAAATAGCCATGTGATTGTAAGAATGTCATAACGATACTGTTATCGGGGCCAATACCATAGGCTTGTACTTGTACTCGTATTCATATTCATGCTATGGTACCCGATCCGGGGAACCGATTAATTTTTATTAGTGTCAAGACAGCTGTGCTGCCATGGTGATCTCTTAAAGTTTGCAGCAAGAAAGCGTTTGCCGCTAGTTTGGCTCCGGCAAGCTACCGAAAAGTAGATGTCGGCATTCAGTGACAAGAGTAAATCAGAATATACGTTGTGTAAGGCCAAACTGTGACGAGGTGGGTCCAAAACAAACCCACCAAACATCTGAAAACTCACCTTTGCTAGCACCGGAGCATGACAACAACATTTGTATGAGTAGAATATGACAGTGGCTCTTATTGTTGACTGTTAAAACAATTGCAAAAATGTTTAATTGTTAAAGCATTTTCTTATTGTTGAAATGAGAAATAAAACATTTATATTTGCAGTTGTATTAGTTTTACAAATTCCCAATTCAGTACTCGTATTGGTACCTGGTATCGGCAAGTACTCGGCAAATTAATGTATTTGAACTCGAATTGGTTTTGAAAAAAGTGGCATCGGTGCATCCCTACGTGGGGGGATATAACAAACAACTCCTGGTCTATTTTTGATGATGGAACCAGGTTGTAACATGTTTAGCTCAAAAAAGGGCAATATTTCAGTAAGAAGACCACATACTGTACGTACTACACTTTTTTACTCAATGTGAATCCAAATCGCTTGAGATGCAATGTTTTCTTAGACGTATAAGAAAAGCCAAAATCTCATGTCTTGGCTGTTCCCCTCTCCCCTCTGTGTGAGTGGACACAGTAAAAAGTCTGATTCTTCAAACTCCCTCAGTAAGCCTTGAGTGTTGGCCGATGTTCAGTCCGCACCACAGCGGCTAACCTCCTGTGGCTTTAACAGGCCTCTGCCAGGTACTGCGGCACAGGAGGCTCTCCACTCCTCACTCCTTAGATTATTCTATAAAACTATTTTGAAAATGTAAAAAGGGAGGTTATTTGACAGGTTAAGCAAAGGTACAAGTAAAAACAGTTAGATAATGCATGTATTTGTTCAGTGTGTGTCTTTTATAGTGCACAATTAATGAAATGTGCAGTGGAGAGATCAACCACTTGAGGTGTAAACACAAGGCCTTGTATTGCTCCACATGGCGATCTAAACCAATATTTTGCTGGGGAACAGCAGTGTTCTGACTGTTGCATTTGTGCGTCATCATTTGTTTATTTATTTAAAACACGCACCAGATATATACAATTTTTCACAGGAATATATGATGATAAGAGAAAACAAGAACATCTGTGCACTGTTTGAATAGGGATTGGTCGAAGCAAAAAGCGTCTATTAATCCAATCAGTGTGGCTGCTTTGTTGCCACCAGTGAGCCAAAATGTTAGTATCGAGTCACGATAAAGCGTTCCATCAATGAAAAGTTTGTCCATGGAGAGTCTTGTCTCTTACCTGTGGCCCTTGCCTCAGCTAAGACTGGCTGGAATAGCTTTTGTTGTTGCATAATCTCATGGGGGAATTGGTCGCACAGGGTGAACTTGGAGTCCTTGAGCTCCCTGCCTTTCCCCAGATGACAGCCTTGTGTCTGGGATCCAAAAGATTGGCCACAATGGGACGACTTCAGGTTTCTCCCTCTTGATGGTGACCCAGACGGGGAGCTCATGCAAAGTGGATCTGTTTTTCACCAAGTTGTCATTCATCTTGAGGCTGGTTTTGAAGAATGTTTTTACTACATGTTCGGTTGTTTAATATGTTTCTTTTTTCTGTTTGGGTAGTCCACGGATGATGAAGCTGTCGCGCATGCTCCTGCACTGTAGGTCGAGAATGTTGTTTTGCGCATTTACCGAGTCCTGTTGAAGATGAGCTGTCAACGTTTTGTTTTGTTTGCTGTTTTTTTTATGTGGCTTAAGTGGGAATTGCTCACTACAGCTCACTCGTTGCTACGACCTGCTGCCATACCAGAAGTGGTACTCATTGGTGCGTCATCTGCAGTGAGGAGAAGGGCTCTTCAGCTCTTTCAGTTGAGCAGATTAATGTTTAGTTATTTAGATTTTTATTTGATTAGTTCACATTATCTCGCTTAACTAAAAAACAAAACAAGTTCAAACCATAGACTGTATATATTAATGGACGTAGTCACGCCTATCTCCGCCGTTCAAACTAATGGGACAAAAATTGTGCTCTACTGGAGCCATCCAAAATGGCCGTGAGTGGTCCCGCCCACAAGAAAATTGTGAAAAAACGCATCTGCGCATGCGCCAGCCGGCGAGAGCCCCATTCATTTGAACGAGTGCCTTCAAAAATTCACAGTGACTAAACCAGAGTGGTCCAAAAAAATTCACCCCCCTCAGCATTGACACACATGTGGAACGGAGCTTTGGGCCAAGAGCCAACTTTTGGACCATCCTGTAAAGACGTTTTCGAGAGGTCAGCTAATGCTATATGTTAGCAATTAGTGGCTAATTCTTATTCCGGGTCCACCCCCATCGGCCCGGGGTGGTATTGCAAGCATGTCAGCGCACGCCATTTTGGACACTTTTGAGCTGGGACCCTCCCCCACTGGTTCAAACATACAGCCCGATATTTAGCTAACAACCAGCTATCTGACATGTTTGTGCTGTAAAATAGAGTATTAGTTTGATTAAATTGTTTTGATTTAAAGCATGAAAACTAGGGCTGTCAAAATTATCGCGTTAACGCACGTTAATAATTTTTTTTCATTAATCGCGTTACAAAAATGAACGCATTTGACGCATGCCCATGCGTCCCATAATAACACTCAGAATGCCGCGGACACATGCGTGTGTAAGATGGGGACAGAGCAGGTAGGCCCTCTGAGAAATCCAAGTTTTGAAAGAATACACGCGTGACCGCGGGGCACTTGTAGTTTCCTGTATGAACTCTGCATGATGAGCTGCGGGCGCCACAGCGCTCTGGACAGTTCCCACTTCCAGCGGCTGTGATCACGGCGAACGGTGCTGCGTAATGGGATCATATCCAAGACCACGCACAGAACTATTCTCTAGTGTGCGTACGTGTCTTTGCGTAACCGATGCACACAACATGTACAGCACTGAAGCTGGACTGCGGAGCCTCAGTCTCATCCGTGTCTTCTCCCGAAGCGCACTCGCTAAATTAAAGCTGAGGTACCTAATTTTCCCTTCCACTACCAGTTCATGTTGGTTGTTCCAAAAAAAGTAATGGTGTGAGCAAATCAAACAGATTGAATGACATTCTGCATCATTTATCTTTCCATTCAAACAACCATTTACAGAAAAATATGGCATAATTTGGCCAATAGTTTGAAATGCGATTAATTACAATTAATACATTTTTAAGCTCTAATTAACTCGATTAAAAAAATTATCGTTTGACAGCCCTAATGAAAACACAAACAAGTCAAAACAACCGATACGTACAGTATATCTCAAAAACCTGAGGTTTCTGAAAATGCTATATACATAGAAAAGTGTGTGCCTGTTGTGCTATTACAACTAAGTCATGCTGTCCCTTTGCAGCCATTGTGATGCCCTCCTGCAGAAGATCGCCACATCATCATTGGCATCAACAGCATTGTTGTCTGTGTACTCACTGCAGGAGAGCGAGGCATCGGTCTGGGCCATTGTGGACGGGACGTCCCAGTAGCTGTTGTCCCAGTCGATGACGTTTCCCTCTGTGTCACAGGTCAGAGCGTTCAGCTGCTGCTCCGACATGGAGTAGTCCCACAGACGCAGGTTATAGATGAAGCCATCAAAACTCTGCTGAGCTGAGCAACACACACAGCACACTGGTTGGAGTCTGCTCAGTGACACAGATGACATATAAGTCTGAAAGGGTGGACCAATTTTTTTTTTTTTTTTTAACAAATTGGGCTTTATTTGTAAACTGCATTGCATATTGTAAACAAGATATGCCCTAGCTCACCATAGCATACTGAGTTTGTTCACTTTTCTCTGTTCACCTGCCCAAGGACTCCAGATGGAAAATAGCTTGCAGCTCTATCACATGCAGAGCATCTAATTCCAAGACAGCGACTGATAAAAATGATATTTTTTTTCACTCTCTGAATATGGAAAAATACACAATTTGACTAAAACGAAATATATAATATACTTCTACTGAGATCATATATTTGGAATGGCCAAAAGATTGCCCCTTGAGCCATGTCCACCCAAGATTTAACTTATTTTCTGAGCTCTCTTTGATGTTGCATGAATCTTTCCATATACTGCTCATCTTTCTGGACTAATAACTATTTAGATGTATTTCTTGTGACCCTCAAACAGAGCAACCCTCACCTCCGAGTTGGAAGAGTCCTCCGGCCGGCACAGACCTCCCGCTCAGACCGCTGCAGGTCTTTGTGAGGTACTGGCTGTTATAGTAGATGACCACTTTGCCGTTGGCGGAGGTCCACACTACACACACCGGCGTCATGGTGGAAGTGAAGTTGGCCTGGGTTATCAACGAGTCCACAGAGCACTCCTGACCGTCCACCACCAGCTTCATCTCTTTGTCTGTCCCGAAGCTCAGGGCCACATTACTGCTGCTGTCATAGGAGAAGAACCACTCTTTCTGTCGAGATATAACGCATGGAGGAATTGATTACTTGTCCATGACCATAAGAGACTTATTTATGGCACTTAGTTCAATACAATTCAATTTATTCTTGTTTAGCCCTAAATCACAACAGTAGTTATCTGTCAACAAAACCATTGAATTGGCTAACACCGATCAGAGAATCCACAGTACAACACAAGAAATTGGTCCATAAGAGGCAGATGACCAATGTCCATAAATGTTGTTGAATGTTGAGTGTCCTGAATTATCATCACTTAGTATCTAGTCATTTTAATCCCAATCCAGAACGTTGAAGGCAATTATCTGAAAAGCAAGATTTACTAAACTGTGAGGTGAAAAGTTGAAGTAAAATGCAAAATGTCTCTAAAATAAATGAATGACTTTTCCAATAATTACACCACATTGTCTTCATCTTTTAGATAGTATGAAGACATAGATACACATAAGATACAGAAAAACTAAGAGTTATTTGTGAGTGGTTGGAAGATTCACCTAAAGTTCAAGACTTCGGGCCAGTAACAATCCTATAGCTGTGTCGGCGCAAACACAGAGACAGGCATCAATCTTTCCACTTTTTTAACACTGTATCTGGGTCTTGGAGGCAGCAGTCAGAGTTTGACACTTTGATTGCCTGCACATTTCTTAAAGCTCATCCACGGGAATCCTGAGGTATGCTTCTAAAGCTGCTCTATCACTCATCGACTTGTCTTAGGAGGTTCAAATGTTATAGGTCATTACCTATAGGATATCCATACAACCACTCAAACTTGTTGCTCTGTGTTTAGAGCTAACTCCTTTGCTGTACCTGTTTGGAAGAGCTGCGCTGAGCCTCGAAGCACACGGTCAGGTGCCTGAGTGTTGGCACGGAGATGGATGAGGACAGTTTGGTTATCTTACCCACCCCATTGCTGACCGTGACCTTCTGGTTCCTCAGGTCCACAGCCACTGAAGAACAAGCATAGGCTAGTTTGAGGTAGCAAAAGCCACTAACTTAAAGGTATATAGGAGGATTTTCTACTTCCGGGTGGATCGTCAAGACTATTGGTCCTCCCAACTGTCAATCATTCTGCTGATACGGCCTCGTCCAATAAGACCAGAGAGTTTCGTTCAAAAAGTGGAGAAGGCGGAACTTTCCTAAAAATTGGGAAAATCCTCCTATATACCTTTAAAGCACCCAAAAGTGGTAAATAATACTGTAGATGTTGATGGAGATGTATTAAAAAGTGTTTGAAATAATAAGGGTTGACATCAGCATGATTATGTTTAACGCTGTTTGGGCTGTGCTTTGTTCTCACTCACATGCTTCTGTGATGGACCAATACTTGTCTGAAGGGTTTGAAGCAGGTACTGCACAATGTTGGAATGTAATAACTGTCTAGATTAGAGCCTGTGGAGGGCTGAGGCATCTGGAGAAAATAGACTCTCAATAGAATTACTCCAAAGATCATCTCATTACTTTTATACAACTAAATTCTTGTGGTTTCAGCACCATTTGCTGGTGTATGTTAATTACCGGAAATGAGAAAATGGGCAGATGGCAGTGTCAGGCAACTGCATTAGAGCTGAGCCTACAGTTATTTGCAAGTTACCCAGTTCCAGTTGTTCAGAATTTCAGGAATTCTACACCCCTCAAGTTTATATGCCCCCCATTCGTTCATATGGGCAAGAAATGGTCTGATGAAGCCTAATTAAGGCTAAAGACTGCAGGGATTTCTGTCTCATGACATTTTAAGTCAAGACAGAGACCACAGGTATTATGATACTCTGAAACAATTTTTGCAAAAGTCATTTGCAAATTCAAAGTACATACAGTAGCTGCATCTAAATTCACATCTCTGAGATTTCCTGCCCATTCTTTTAATTTAGAGTACTTATGTTTAGCAATAAACACTTACTTACAAGGATCAATTGACCAAACACACATTTCAATTGACCAAACCTGGACAAACATTGTCCTATAAAAGGTCATTATTTTAGCACAAGGAAGTATATGGAAGGGGGTATCAAAATGATTGGATGCAGCCCATGAACAGTGCCAAACAGACATTCATTGCATAATTCTTAGAGCAGGGAATGACTGTTTGTGGATGTTTTATGAACAGACATGCATTATTCGCTGCAACTGTTATGCACAGGTTTGTTTTGTCCTGTAGCCGCTTAACACATTAAAACGCAGTGCACATGACTTTGAATAAAACTCTTGTTTAACAGGTGTTGAATGTCTATTGTGAATATGGTTCAAATATGTCATTTCTGATTATCTTCCTGCTTATAAATGTTTGTGTTATAGATATCCGTCACTATGGCTGTGTGGCCTGTCTCTGATGTGACAGATCCACTGACCCCACTGGCATAACGACTGTTGCAAACAAGAACATTTACTCAAGGCATACCTCCCTGAACTTGTGAAGGGATGAAATTTGGACAAAAATCCTGTAGTCTGCTGCCAGCTTAGTAAGGAAGTGCTCATGAGTGAAATTTAGTTCCCATTCACTACATTAAAACGTTTTTCAGAAGCTGAAAAATGTGTGTCTAATTTTAAAATTGCCTTTGTAAATCCAGATATGACCATTAATAAAGGACCAATCAGGTGCCTTTTGTCCCAGATTTAGGCTTTGGCTCACTAATAGCCCAAGCGGGTTCAGAGCGGCCTCACTCCTGAATGGCTGCTTGATGACTATGTGCTGTAGTTGCTATCAGCCTGTTTAAGCTAGCTCTAATTGGCTTCTTCCAAGAGAAAAGCCAAACGCTATAGGTGAGGTCCACACTTGTGCTGTGATGTCATCATCTGGATGAAGAGTTGCAGATCCGACGTAACAAAGGAGACATGTATCCTGGTAGTCTGAAATATTTGTACTCTGTTGGTTGTGTTGGATACGCCTGCTTCATGTGGACAGCGCCTAAATTAGACAACATAATATTGACAATACGCCTGATCAGCTCTGAGTGGACATGGCATACTTTTTTTTTTATTATTAGAGAGCATTTCTGTTCCTATAAAAAAAAAATCCTGAATCCAGATGGTTATCCAATTTTTACGCCCCAAAATGGAAACACTTTTTTGTTGTCCCATTTCTGAGCTTTACTGAGCATTGTGTAATCGTTTGGCCATAGCTTTTTTATTTAATTTTTTCACCAACAAACAAACAAACGTAGATGATTACGTTACACCCTGATGGATGTTTGTATATATTAAAAAAATTAAACTGATGCTGTTTATTTCTACAAGTAATGAAGTGTTCCTATAAGTCACCATCATTGACTTGTGTTTCCTCTACTCAGCATGTACCAGGGAGTGAGTTAAGCTCTCCATTTTCCAGAAGCATTGATTTGCTCATTGCTCAGGCAGGTATATACCGCATTGTCCTCTGAAAATATCTTAAGTCTTACAGCTACGTTTGATGCACTGTGTCAGAAAGTCAATGCTCGTCTTTCAGATAGAGATCCTTTGATGAGACTGCATTGATTTTTGTGTAAACTGTGGATTGGTTTATCACACTGGCTCTAAAACATTTATTTACAAAAGATGACAACTTCAACAACTTCTATAAAAGAAATTCTAGGTTATTGTGACAAAGAATTCAGACCCTTGATCTCTACGAGTCTTTGAACTTAAAGCTGTGGCACATGAATTATACTTGCACCATGAATCACTTAAGGTTTACTGATTACATACCTTTTATGCTTGGTTTGGATTGTTTTTCTGTTCAATGTCAAGCATGCAGGCGGATAATTCACATTCAAACTAACAAGGTCTAACCACATAAGCTGCAATCTGATTCTGACAAACGAAACGTGCAGATCGAAGGTTCTTTTTTAGTGCTATACTTACATTTTCGCAGTTCCAGTTTATTATCAGCAAGCGAGCAAAGCAAGGAAAAAAATCACGTCCGTAGATGACAAACCACTTATTTTGCCTAATCCACTTTTCTACGAAGATAAGATGACAAAGCGCTGTGTTTGTAAAAGGAATTTTCAGCTAAATTATACCACTATGGTAGTATTTGTGATTCTCTGATAGAAGCAATGGAGGGGTATATTTTGAGCAAGATACTAACTCAAGAAGTGAACTTTCTTGAGTCTATATCAGAACAGAACTATATCAGGTGGGGGTGGTAACAGGGGTAAGGGGAAATATATATATATTTTTAAGTATTGTGCTTGAAATTTCTGTAACATATAATAAATAACATGAAAAGTCCAATCCAATACTCCAATACACATTTGATCACAAAAAAACTAGTAAAGTACCATGAGATGCCGGCCTCTTCTGAACCTACCATGTCTATACTCCACATAAAAGCCTCTCTTCTGCACGCTGAAGTCGGACTTGAAGTTGACCACCATCACGTTCCCGGTGGAGTTGAGCGTGAGCCCGTGCGCCGTGAGCCCGCAGAAGCGCACATCGGCCTGCCCCGTGTTCACCACCGCATAGTCGTAGATGCAGCCGGGCGCCTCCTCCAGCTCGAAATCCACAAACGTCAGCTGAACGATGTGTCCCGTGGGCGCCTGGACGGTCCAGCGGCACGTCTGGGAGTTGGGGTACTTTTGGGGGTAGCACGGGGACTTGATCACCCCATGGGAACCCTCCAGGAGCAGGTCGCAGTCCGGGGCCACGCAGCCGAGAACTGGAGGTATAGTGGTGATGGGTATACACGTTCACATGGAGGTTTTACCAAGGTTAAAGTAGCGGCACGGCAGGCAAGAGTGGTCAGAATCAAGCACACGACAATCAACATGGGAAAAACATGTCCGCTGTTTGTTTTAAGAAGTCATGCGTTGCAGTTATTGAAGGCAAAACCAACAACAAAGATTTGTAAGACACAAGAACGGGAAGTTTTTTGAGGATCTGGTCATCCAAACAGGACAGGGTTGAAAGCATATGGACAGACATCTCGGTGAGTTCATCTTCTATTGAAAGGCAAAGACACAACGTAGTTCAGGAACATGAAACTTCAGATCGAAAGAGACGAACGTGCAAGAGTTAAGGTTTTGTCGGCACATTTTCAGTTAACAAAGAGGTTCCGAAAATTGTCAAAATGTGGCCATTAGACTGAAGATTTCAAAAGAGTAGTGGACAAGACTGTTGGAAAGAGCAGGGCAAGGTAGGATTCAAAGGACAATCGACAAACAGATTAAAACGATCAAGAAGTGAAGTAAGTTTGTCATTGTTGCCAGGTCAAAAAGTTCACAAGAAGTTTAAGAACATACATGGTCAGAGACAATCAGTGGGACTTGATTTGGGGATTTTCAAACATCAGGGTTCAGGGACAGAGGCAGAGAGAGAAGACCAATAATGGATTCTCAAAGAAAGATTGACAATAGAGGAAGATTGAATTTCAAAAACACTGGCAAACTGTGTCTTGATTGCACATTATGCCTGGTAGTTACAAAAAGACAACTGGGAAAAGACATGCACGAAGGGGACAATTAGTGGACACCATACAATAGAGAATTAGATCCTAAATTAGCCATTGTGGTGCAGTGTTGATCATCTGAGTTAAGAGCAGTAACAATGCTTATAATTGTACTCTCGGGCTTGTTTTGTGAATAATTTAAGATTCATGAAGTCTTCCATAAGCCTACAGGACAACACTGCTTATGCCTGTCTGATTACTTACCAAATCGCAGTTCATATACTATCATAATGTTCACAGTTCACAATGCAGATAAAATTTCATCCATTATTATTATTATGACACTAGGAAATGCAAATGTAAAACCTTTGGCCTCTTTGAAGATATAGTTTTCTTGAGTCTAAATATATACAGTATATATAGCTCACTTTGATTCAATATGTTTAAACACGCACCCTCAGATCTTCGTAAAGAATTAACAAAGCAATCTGGGAAACTGCTACATTGAAACGATCCTTAATGCCACCCCCCCCCCCCCCCCCCCGCTCCCCAAACGCTAATTTAATTACAATTTGCTAAATCCCCACGGAGAGACAATCTTTTGAAACAGCACATGTTGACAGCCAGAATTCTTCCGCTGGGATTCATTACGGTGAAGGGAAGATGAGCGGCTCTGTGTCTGCTCTCAAACACAGAGCTGGAAAAAGCTGAGATCTCTGTGAAGCTCCAACAATGAGCCCCGTTGATCAGGCTCCGCGCTGAGGCCAAACCACAGCAAGAGGAGCGGACGGCCCAGCGGCACCAGTCTGCACATGTGGGACTGAGACTGGAGGGTTAACCCTTACATGACAATTCCCTTTTTTTTTTTTTAACACAGGCATAAACCTAAGGATGCACTAATTCAGTCTTAATCTATGGACCAAACTCAAATCTCAGCAACCACACTCACTATTGTTATTTTATATATTTTGTGCTTTTATCTCCCTTTATAAACCCACATTTTAATACAAGTTTTAAACCCAACACTTTTAGGCTGCTTTATTTTAATATGAAATAATTGTATATTTCGTTAACTTTTTCATGTAGATTTTTTGTGTTTTGAAATTGCTCTTTGGAAGCACTTTCAATTGCCTTGTACACAAACTGTGCTATACAAATAAATGATTGATTTATTGAATTAAATACAGATACAAACGATTATCATCACAACATTCCGAAGAGCCTATAGTTTACCAATGTAGACGAGGGCGGCTGAAAAATCTATGGTGACGGTGACTATGGTAACTGTCAAAATCAAACTTCTATATTTAGTTTAGAGCTAATTTCAACCGTCACAAAGTTCCACATGATTAGACAAAGTACCGAAGCGGCCGGACTACTTGTGGAGGGATCTGACATTGGCAGCGGTCATTATTGGTTACAGAGGTCCATTATCAAGAAATAACCACTGGTCTCTGGAGCGTTCTACTTGAAAGGCCATATATATCGCCATAATAATACAAAATATAACATATGCATGAGTTTGCCCAGTAGGAAAGCCTTTCAGACATAAGAAAAACATGGCAGGTGTGAGAATCCAAGAACTTTCAAATAATGATCAGGGAAAAACTTTTTCTAATTTCTTAAAAGTTGCTAAGTTCACATAGATTGGTTTTGGCACCTGCCCTCTCACTGAAATAGTTATCAGGAACACAAACACAACCACTTGTGTATTTCCAACTGATATTCTGCAAGTAAAAAAGTTCGTAATTTTCTCCTGTGTGAGATCAATAAAGTCTATCTTATCTTATCCGAATCAGTTAAAATAAAAAAGCTAATAACAAATAACTTCAGCTATTTGTCTAAATGTTGTTGTATTTTTTATTGTTGCTGTTTTTCACCTGTCTGTACAGAAGTTTGGTAAGCCCAAACTGTTTTAAATGTTCTTTACAAATAAATATTGATTGATTGATTGGGGTTTCAAATATTGTTTTTGAAAAGTAGCGGCTTATCGTCCCACAAGCACTGTACATGTTTTCCCTTGAACCAATATTTTTTGCCGTCCAGCCCAAACTTCCTCTGACAGAAAATTGGAAAAAAAAAGATGATGGTGTTTGCTATATGCAGCCTTTTTTTCCAAGTCTTTGTAGCGCTCAAGCTAATTGTGTAAGCTACCATTGCTTGCAAGATGGAAGGGAAAGCAAACATAATTCTTTACACATTACTTTGCAGTCTGCATTTTTCCGGGATGTCCTTTTTACAGCTTCTATTTTGACACTTTGGCATTCATAAAGGATCCAATTATGTACTGAGACTCTTCCCTCATTTACAAATGTCTGAACCCAACCTCAGACTCTGGCCAGCCACTTACTGGTCCATTACATGCACAAACAGGACAAATTGCTGAATCTGCCATTAGTCTTTCAGCGCAACATTTAAGAAACTTTTGGACCCAGCATCAAAGCAAACCATTTTCCCACAAATAAAAAAAAAAAATGGGTGAAGACTTTAGACATCCAGCGTTCCAGTTTTTCCCCAGACAAAGCCTCTGCCTCTGCTTGTGAATGGAATCAGTGGATCACAGCGCTGGAGAACCGACCCTCCCAGAGAGAGCAGGGGGCGAGAGGGGGGAGCAGTGCACCTCTTTGTGGGTTTGATAGAAGTCAATTCAGCCTCCTACTAAATGGCTAAAAGGTACGGCTTACGTTACAGCCACTGCCCGCTCTTGTTACACCTTATCCTGGATTTACAGTCAGACAGGGACTGACGGGAAAAGGCTCTGAAGCCGCCGAGGTCTGACTCAGCTCATGCAAAGAAGCGAAACTTGGTTATAATGACACTTTAAACTGATGATGTCTCAGAGGTAGTCACATTTTTATATCTGCCAATAGATAGAATAGATAGAATAGAGATGTACTTAATGATAGCCATGCTGCGGAACAAGCTGGTGACAGACCGTTCAATTCAATTCAAAGTCATTTTATATAACCCAAAATCCCACTCGGAGGTGTCTACAGCCTTGTTAATTTGCCAAAAACAGATCAAACACAGAACGGCAATAAAAACAACCACATAGGAACCAATGGTCTAAATGGAACAGGATGACCAACGTCCTAACAAATTACATATTAATTAATGTTCATAAATGTCCCAGATCATCACGGCCCTTGGACCTTGCTGCATCGGCACGGACCAACTCAAAAACCCAGTGGGGAAAAAGTGAGAAACCTCGGGAAGGCTCATATTGAGAGAGGGATCCGCTCTCACGGACAGACATTCACTAACTTAATATTCACTCAATTCAACCAACAAAACAACAAAAAAACCATAGCATGCACACATTATTAGGCGGTTTTGCATACAAAGTTGATCATAATCACATTTGTGTTTCCACCTTAAAGAAGCTCAACAAATTGTAAAATGCGTCACATCTTTAGTTCTGGTCGATGGTGGCCGGTCATCTATCTGTTCTCCTGTCTTCAAGCTGGTTTCAAGCTCTCCCCTTGTTCTTCTTCTGAATTACTTTTCTTGGCACAGCCTTTACAGGGCGTAACAAACGTTGGGACGATGGGAGCTACAGTGGGTTATAACATTAGTTGACATTGTAAATTTGGAACTTTCCTTGGACAAAAACAATGCCATAAACTTGTGGAAAAGTTTTGATCTGATGTGGATTTGAGTTTTGTTTGAGTAATATCAGTTTCAGTGTTTATGTGTATTATAATCTATCCTGCACATGCCCGCTGCTGCAGGCCAGCTGAGACACATATGCCCTGATGATCATGCGGCATTTAAAACACATGGAGGAGCAGTGGCTCTACCCTGAGCTCCTCACTGAGCTCCCAAATCATTCTTCTGGACTCAGGTTGAACTTGAACTTGTATAGATACTAATGTAACAGCAAAAAATGAGCTTAGATGTAGGGCTGGGCGATTAATCGATTTTAATCATTAATTCGAGTTTTACGTTTAGGGCGATTTCTTTTTTTAAAAATTCGATTTTTATTTTCTCCAGCGCAGAACTACAGCGCTAACGTGCTAACCGCGGGTCTATGGTGCTGAGCAGTCATTTTGAAGCTAACCTAATGCTAACAGTCTCCCTCTGGCCTGATGCTCGCTCTCACAGTTGGTGCTGTTGCAATAGCACTTTAAACGTTCAAGAATCAGACTTTATTTAATCGCCAAAACACACACACACACGCACGCAAGCCCCGGTCGCCATGTTCGTACGCCATGTTCGTACGCCACATCTTTCACGCTCTCTCACGCTCGTTATTCCAAAGCGCACTCCCG